CTCAGAAGGCGGCCGGGGGCTTGGCGAAGCGCCGAGCACGGGACGCTCAACGCCGGGGCCGCTCGCGCGCGCGGGCTCCCGGGTTCCTCGCGGCCGACACGAATCCCAGCGCGACCGCGACCTGCCCAGGCGTCCTAAACACCCAGCCGCCCGCCCCTGGCGCCTGCCCGCCGAAGCTGCTCCCGTCGAGGACGGGCAGAGAGATCCCGCCTTCCATCCTGGCGTAAGCGCTGGTTTCGGAAGCCTCAATTTAGCCGCCCGCTGCATTAGACCTCGTCCTCGCAGCGGGGAGGGTTCTACCCGGCCCTCTCAGCACGTGCCTGACGTTCCCTACCCTGAGATAAGATTATTGGGCTTACCTCGCCATCCGGTCCGATCGCCGGCGTCTGCCCTTCCGCGTTCTCCGCCTTCTGCAAGAGGAGGAAGATGGTTGTGAGCGACCCAGCACCCAAGGAAGCGACAAAATCGGCGCCTCCGCGAAGACGGTATGCCCCGCGGAGCTTCGCCTTCAACTCACCTTCTTCTTCTTCTTCTTCTTCTTCTCCTTGGCCACCTGCGCGGCCTTGTGCTGCCGCACCAGCTCCGTCAGGTTGGCCACGTACTCGTCCGTCTGCTGCAGCAGGTAGGCCAAGCGCTTGTCCTTCTTCTGATCGATGAGCTTGCGGTATCCCTCCTCATCTTCGGCCTACGGGAAGGAGGATCGTTAACACCCTGCTAAACGAGGCGAGCCCTCCGCGCACCCCCCGAACGCCTAACGGCTCGCCGCGCACGCGCGGGCCGCTTCCCGTGCCGCCGCTTACCATCAAACGGCGCATCCTCTCCTTCTCGATCCTCTCGTTTTCCTTCTTCTGCTCCCGCTCCGTGTTGGCGTGGTAGGTAGCCACCGCCTTGGTCAGCTTTTGAATTTTGCCTGTGACGGAGCGGTGGTATTCCTTGAAATCCTTCGCGTGCTGCAGGATGCTATTGAGGTATTCCTGCGGGAAAAGGAACCGGCGAACAGGCAGCGTCAGGACTCGTGCGCTTAGGTGTTGCACTAAGTTAAGACATCCAACGCGAAGCGAGATTGGCTCCTCTTACACTTTACAGGATAGAATATTTCGGTTGGAAGGGACCTACAAGGGTCACCTCGCCCCAAAGAGCGGTCACCTCGCCCAAAGAGCGGTCACCTCGCCCAAAGAGCGGTCACCTCGCCCCCAAAGCGGGCAACGCCCCCCCACAGAGGACATCCCCCTCGTCACCTCGCCCCAAAGGGCGGTCACCTCGCCCCAAAGGGCGGTCACCTCGCCCCAAAGGGCGGTCACCTCGCCCCAAAGGGCGGTCACCTCGCCCCAAAGGGCGGTCACCTCGCCCCAAAGGGCGGTCACCTCGCCCCAAAGGGCGGTCACCTCGCCCCAAAGGGCGGTCACCTCGCCCCAAAGGGCGGTCACCTCGCCCCAAAGGGCGGTCACCTCGCCCCAAAGGGCGGTCACCTCGCCCCAAAGGGCGGTCACCTCGCCCCAAAGGGCGGTCACCTCGCCCCCAAAGGCGGTCACCTCGCCCCAAAGGGCGGTCACCTCGCCCCAAAGGGCGGTCACCTCGCCCCAAAGGGCGGTCACCTCGCCCAAACAGGGTCTTTCTCTCATCCCCCCAAAAAAGAGAATTCCCTAAAAGCGTTCAGCCCAGCCAACTCCAGCCGCCCGGTTCCTCCGGCGCCCCCGACGCCGGCAGGCGCAGCGCGTCACGGCTGACCTGGTGCTTCTGCCTGCGTTTGCGCTCCTGCTCGATCTTCTGCTGCTTCTCCAGCTTCTCGGTGATGCGCGCCTCGCGCAGGGACTGCCGCTTGCTGCGCTTGTAGGCCTTGGCGTTCAGGGCCGTTTCCAAGGCCGTGTCTCGCCTCATGCACACCACCACTTCCTGACGCAGCTTTTGGAGAGATTCAGGTTAAATTAAAAAGGGAATTAATTCCACGGGCGAGGCTGCAAAGCATTAGAACGGCGCGAGTTTCGTGCCACCCGCAGCTGCCGCGCGCAGCGAGTTAATAAAGCAGATTTCCTCTGGCGGAGAGCTTACCTGTCGCTGAAAGTTGAGCAGCCTGAGGGCTTTAAGTTCAATGGTAGCTTTGGTTCTCAGGTCACCAGCCAGGGAGCCAGGAAGGTTTTCCAGCTCTTGGATCCTGTGAGCAATGCGAGCTTGCAGCCTGCAGAGGAAGGAGAGGGGATTTCAGGGCGGGCAGGGACCGGCACGACGCTTTCGCTCCTCTCCTTATCGAGCGCAGCTCTGATCTGCGGAGGCCGTACCCCCAGCGAGAGGGGGGCTCTGGGCTGCGCGGCACCCAGCCGTTTAACTCTCTTTTAATCGATCGTCAGAGCAGCGACGCTCGCCCCCAGCGCACAGGCACCCGCCGTCGCTAATAAAATGCCAGCGGTGACAATAAAGCAGGAGGGACGAGATGTCGGGAGGTGCCTTGAGAGGCTCCAAGGAAAACGTACGCCCCCTCGTCCCTCCACATCTCCGCATGGCACAGAATCATCGGATCGTTTGGGTTGGAAAAGGCCTTTCGGATCCCCGAGTCCCATCGCTAAGCTAAAGCCACCACCTCCGCCCCAAACCAGGGCCCCGAGCGCCGCGTCTGCGGGGCTTTGCGATCCCCCCCGGGGCGGGGACTCGGCCCCTGCCCTGGGCAGCCTGGGCCAGCGCTCGACAGCCCTTTGGGCGCAGGAATCCTTCCCGAGATCCCACCTCAGCCCAGGTCCCATCCAGGACCTATTCCTTCTCCTGTCGCTTCTTCGTTGGCAAAGAGCCCGACCCCCCCGGCCTCAGCCTCCCTTCAGGCAGCCGTGGAGAGCGCCCAGGGCTGCCCTCAGCCTCCCCCTCTT